CTGGATGTACAAAGGTATTAATATGAGGATGTGCAAAACAGACAAACAAATTAACCTTTATTTACACATTAAATAATACTTTAGATTAAGGTCTTCTTTTAAATAAGAAAAAAGCTTTGGGGGTATCTAAAGATAAATATTAAGCCTGACAAAGTACTTAACGTGCTTTCCTGCAATGTTAACTATGTTGAAGCACTTATTTTATCTGATATTATACATATGAATTATACTCTTATGTATGTAGATAGTATAAGAAATGTGCAGAATATGACAGTTTAATGGTGGAGGTACAAACACATATTGATAGATGTCTTGTGATGCGCTGTTGAGGAACCTGTGACCAAAGATTTTCATTCATTGCATAACTACACCGTACTTGTGTATATGATATGTCAATAAACCTTTGAAAATCTTGAAAGGGATGTGCAAAATAGCAATTATATACAGTCTTTAATTAACTATAAGTAGAGAATAATGAGTAATGAATATACTTTATTACTCGTTTCCATTCATGTCAATTGCAGATAAATGTTTAGTCTTCTCGAGCACCAACTATCAAATATCTCTCCTGATTGTTGGCACTTGACAATCTGCCATGTCCAAGAAACTTATAGTGAAAGTTTATTCTTTATGTTAGAGTTGTCTTGTCCCTTTGTCTTGTGCTTTATGTCTATGCCCTTAATTATTTCTTCCTTTCGTTTCAGGCCTCCACGCTCCCCGCCCCTTTCTGTCTCCTGCGTCCTTGATTATTTTCCCCGCCCTGATTGTTTCCAACTGTGTCCCCTTTACTTACCTGTGTATATATTGTGTTAGCTCCCTCCTGTTACAGTTTTTCTCAATCGCTAAACCCACTATTTAGAATCAAAATTCCTTTCATCAAACCAACAGCACAGCCATCGAAACAGAAAACCATTTCTCTACAACAGTATACCATTTCTCATTGATATCACACAAAATGCAGATGCTAAGCAGTGTTTTGCAAAACAGATCACACAATTCTCTAACTGAAGTTACAATTCTCTACACAAAGATCAAAAATCTGTTGTGTAACTCATGTCTACAAAACAACAAATAATCTTCTCACAGTGGATAACACTTCCTCATAAACTTAGACCATAGCTACACTAATTGACACTTGATGTGCAAAATATTAACACTTGTTATCAGTCAATCACCCCATTGAAAAAGGTAACTCCATGGAATGTACTGTATACCTTACAGTAATGATGTTACATTGAAAACATTTACATGATAGAATTTGCATGACTGTACTTAAAATATTTTTTTAAATGGTGCCGGTAAAGCTATAATAGTGTTGATATGACTTGCATAGGTCTTTGAGATGTTCATATGGGGAGGATTAGCTATAGCTGATACAACATTTTTACAGTCAGTAATTGTGGTCTTTTCCTTTTTGCACATTGAGAAATGTTTTTNATGTGTGTGGTGTGTCTGTGTGGGTGTTTGTGGTGTGCATGTTTGTGGTGTGTGTGTGTGTGTGTGTGTGTGTGTGTGTGTGTGTGTGTGTGTGTGTGTGTGTGTGTGTGTGTGTGTAGGCTGATCGATGCTGCTGTGACTGACAGAATGATAGGTGGTCCTGCAAGATAATCAAAGGCACTAATAACAGCAAAACACTTTCACGTGCCTCTTCGTAGCTTTGGTATTAGAATAAGAAAGATTTCATTAAAAACCAAACCAAAAACAAATGCACAACTACTGCAAAAGTGAGCTGATACAGTCCCTGTCACACTATCTGTCTCTGTGTGTGTGTGTGTGTGTGTGTGTGTGTGTGTGTGTGTGTGTGTGTGTGTGTGTGTGTGTGTGTGTGTGTGTGGGGTTCAGGCACGGCTTGAGCCACTAAGAGTTAGGGGAGCTGTGTGTTTTGTGTCATCCCATTATATCACTAATGAGCCGCCCTCAGGAGGGGGACGAGAGAAAGCAAGGCGGACAGAAAAAGACAGAAGAAGAAAATGAGTGAGAAGAGGAGGGGAGAGAACGAGAAGGGGGAAGGGAGACAGGGAGCAGCTTGGGGACTTTTTCCTCTTCTCCCCTCCATATCCTTTCCCAGCACCTCTGAGTCTAATTGGACTAAAACTGTGATCTAATTAAATGTCCAATTAAAGTGCAGAGAGCAATGTGCCCACCGGCGAATCAGAGTACAGGGACATAATCAGCTGGAAAAACAAACAAAAAATCAATGGAAGCAATACGAAATGGAAAAAGATGGAGAAAACAGAAAAGGGAGGAAAAGGCAAAATAGGAAAAGATGGACAAATCAAATTAGACTTCAAGCAGAGTGATATGAGGTTGTGCTGAACTGGTGTGATATGACTGTCTTCAGACAAGGTTCCCTCCAAAGTACAAATGTAAGGTTACGAGCCTAAATATTTACTCATGTGTAGATTGCAGCTGAGTAAAAGACATAATACACACTAGTCAAAACTTAAATGTACTCTGTAACATGTCATTAAAAGAAAAATATTCCCATGCTGTGATCTTGTTTTGGTTAGTCTACAAATAACAATTCAATGCATAAAGAAATCATAAGACAAGCGCCAGCTGCTGATTTTGGCTTCTCAAATTAAAAGATAGCCTGGATTTGTTTGTTAAATGTCACTGTGAATAAAACACCTTTTTGTTGTTTTTTCAGACGATGCAGTCAATTTAAAAAGACCCATTTGGCTCTGGTGTACAAGGCATCGGTCATATTTTTGGTAAAGACTGATCAATTCCTTGAAAAACCCAAACTACATTAGTCATTGTTAAAAATTACGAATTTGTAGCATTCCAGTTTATTTATTACATCAGAGTTCAACTTGTTATGGATGTGGATTCAAATATATCGTACTTCTTATTTCCAACAATAGAGGGAGAAATGATGCACTTCAAAATCAGAATAAAGACATGCATATTTACTAGACAAGCAAACTACCAGACTCATATTCACCAATTCACTTTGTCTAAATTTGAGTCCAATATTAATCAATGAATAAGGCAAGGCAAGTTTATTTATATAGCACCTTTCAACACAAGGCAATTCAAAGTGCTTTACAAAAAATGAAAGACATTAAGAAAATGGCATTTAAAAACAGTCATTAAAAAGCAAAGATAATAAAATAAACAATAAAAAAATAAATACATGGATAAAAGTTACAGTGCAGTTTAAGATGTGAATAGTTCAATTAAAAAGGATTTAAAAGCAGTCAGAGTTGCAGCGGATGGACCGGCAGGTTTCTGGGAGTTTGTTCCAGATATTTGGAGCATAATAACTGAACGCTGCTTCTCCATGTTTAGTTCTGACTCTTAGTAACATGAATAATGGGGATGTTGTTTTTTTTCTAGTTTAAGAAAAGCTTAAGATTTATGAAATTCTTGATAATTGCACCAAAAATAATTGATTCAGTTTGAATTCACATTGACAGATAGTAGAGTACTAAATCAAGTATAGTCAATTCAACCAGTTTTGTTACATGCCTCAGCACATATTGTGATATATTATAATATAGTTTCTGTATATCGTGATGCTTATTTGGTACTTATTTCCCAGCATTACTAATACAAAAATGACTTTCTGCAGCTCTTTTTTACTCGATCACTGACAGGAAGAGAGAGAGAAATCTTGCTCTGTCTCCATCTGTGAGTTGCTCACACACTGTGAACCCCCTATGGACAGCTTTAGCCCATAAAATATTAATGCTGGGATTCAATTCAACATTCCACCTTAATCTCCTTAACAATTAGACCTTCAGCACACACAATTAGGTTTGTTATAAGTAGTCTGAGGGGTATTGACTCTAGAAAAAGAATTACAAAACTGTAGTACAGTGGAGGGACCGAGGTAACTGACAGTCAGATACACCAAAAAATAAGAAAAAACTATTTTGGTAAATAGAAAACTTCATTAAATATGGGTAGATGCTTTGAGTTTGTTGGATTCTTACCATAGCTGCTGTAAGGGGGGGCACTTCAGCAGATGTTTCTCAGTTCAGTGCATCCTTGGTGGGTGTGGTTGCACATCCAGGTCCCCTACCTGCCCTGATCCTGGCTCCTGCTGGGCCAGAGAAAGAGGATCACTCACATACTGAGACAAGCCCACCTGTTCACACAAATAACTGCCAGCACACTGAACTGATTACAGACACAGGGAGGATGCCTCAGTGACATTATTTGTGACAACAGTTTTCTCATCTTATCTGATGAGGTGCAATAATCTTTTGTGGACAACAGTGTCTTTGGTATTGAGTTGTGGAATCTGTGTTTGATTTAGCAGCAGTTATACAAATATTATTTAACATTTTTTACTTTACTTTCGTGTATTTGCATTACCTCTAACAGCACTCCAGACATAAAGCTGGCTTTTTATTGTGCTTTATCTCTCATTCCTTACTGAACGCCTACATTTTCTTTGCTATCTATCCATCCATCCATCCATCCATCCATCCATCCATCCATCCATCTAAAGGTTTTCTAACTAAGTGTTGTGTAACAACCATTTTTAATCAACAACTAAAACCATAGACAGCATATTAAAGCTTAAAAACGTATTGCTAGCTGGTGGAAAATAGGTCGCATTGAGTTTTACAAAAAGTTAGGCATAATGATGCAACCCCCCTTACTCAAGAGAAATCAGTTATTCATAAGCGTAGGCTGCTAAAGAAGCACAAATGCGTGACAGTGAATAAAATGAGTATAATCTTAAAGCTATTTTATTGTAATGACAAGTCCTTTACACTCCTCTTTCGTCGGTGTTATATTTACCGTTAAAGTTCCTTTACTCTCAGATGAAGATCTTGAGAAAGTTTTCTTCATAAGGAGTCCCGTTGAATCGCCGCTGACAAAACACTACAAGTCCCGTTACTGTTGTCAAGCATAAAACTGCCATGATTGAAGTTTTCTCCAACATCCGACTCAGCCGTTTGGCTATTCAGAAAACTACACCACCCACAAAGCCAAGCAAATACCAGGAAGTGTCACTCACGTTTCCTTGGTCACAGTGAGATTGCTCCGCCGTAGGTTTCCGGCTGCACTTTAGAAGAGAAGAGCGGCGTCGAGACCATTGGGAAGACTAAACACCACCGCCTCCAATATCTATACTGTACAATGAAACTGTTAGCAATATATCCGTCTCTCGATATCCGCTTCGTCACGGTTGTCCTGCTGGTAAGAATACATATTTTAGACTTTTATGCACTGCTATTTAGCTTCAACAGCCAGCTAGCCCCGGCTAATTACCGTTGGTTAGCCTGCCGCTGTATGGTTAGCTGCTAGCTAACTGATGAGCCTCTGCTGACATGAGAGAGACGTGGTTTTTAAACTGTCGTAGACCACCAGGGAGTCAGATCATTGCTGGAAGTGCAGTTATTATTTATTGGGTTCAGTAAGGAGGCCCTTGGACTGGGTTTCGCCAAACGTCTGCCATAACTAATCAAGTTACCCAGCTGCAATGTCAACTCAGCCGGTGGTGTTAAATAACGTTAGCTGTAGTGTTGTAACAAGTCATAATCCTTCTTATCTAATCAAGATGTTTCTTATGTAGAAAGGGCGTATATTGCAAACTTGTATGCTTTGACTAAAGTTGGACTCCTGATAACTTTAAGGGGGGGGATGAAGCATCGAGCTAGCATTAGCCGTTACCACTTATTGACAGCAGGGTACCAATTTTGATTACAATCGTGGTTAGTTTAATCATTCTATTTATTGAAAGGGATTATAAGTTATGTTTGATCAATATTTATATTTCTTTGTGTAACGTTATGGATGCATTCATTTATTGTCAAACCATTCGTGTCTCTGAATGGTGCTCGCCGGTTCATGAATTCCTCTGTTGTGGCTCATTCTTATTGGCTGTCAACCCGGAAATAGGCATTACGCAGCTGTGCTGCTGTTGTGAGAGTTTTGGGCCTGAAAGATAACTTTCCTCCGAGTTGCAGAGCAGTGTCTTCATCGGCCTAACCACAGCAAGTGTGGCATTTCATATCAGTTTGCAGCTGTGTCATGCTATATGGTATACATGTACTATATCTGATTTTACAATGTTGAGACTTTCTTTTTTCACAGTTCTTTTAATGAATTGTATAGTTTACGAAACTTCGAAAAGAACACAACTCTAAAAAAGAATTTGACCTAGCCACATTCTCATACATGCCAACCTTTCCAAAACCAAAAGAGGTAGGTTTGCGCGCGGCAAATGTGCACGCCCAAACTAGGTAATCAGAAGAAATGGAACCCCAGTAATTACATATAAACCATGTATTTAACATGTATTGCATAATTTTATGCATTTTTCAGAAAAAGTGGTAGTTTGGTAAACAGTGACATCAACGACATGTCTGGTCTGTAAAATGCCCGAAAAGTAAAAGAATGGGAGATAAATATCCCAAAGTCTCCACATTTTATTATATTTTGTGTGTTTCTGGTCCTCTTTCAGTTGAGACAGTGTAGATGAAGGATGTGTCAGGATGTAGAACTCTTGTGTCAACATTGGATAAAGCCAGGTTCATATTCTTGTTTCGTGTTGTTGACATATTAGAGTCAAAGGTTTGCAAAGAGCGAAATACCAGTAATAGGTCAGTAACTCTTTCAGGAAAGACACCCATACATCCTGTTTGACGAGGATCTCAAGTTAGAAATCACACCACAGATGGAGTGATAATGCACGCATACTTTTATAGGTTACTTTAATAACTGTTGAATAAAGTGGCTGAGATTAGAAAGCCGGCGTACATTTCCCAATGACGCAAAAAAATATGGGATTGCACTTTTCGTGTCAATAAGTTATTAATTAAAAATAAAGTTTTAATAATGAAGTCCAGTTTAAAATAGGTTATGTAATAAAGGAGCTAATTCAGGCTACACCTACATTTGCATCAACAGCCCTTTTAACATTGGTGTTCTTTCCCCATTTCGCCCTCAAATATTTAGCCTTTAAATTTATTTCAGCTTTGCAATCGGAGCTGGAATTAATTGGTAAATCATACTTATTCCCTTATTGGTTTATATATTGGTTTATTTTGAGTAAACCAGAGAGGGAGATGCACAACGAACAAATGGCTACTGTCTTATCACAAACCTACTAATATAATTAGGCCTACTGCAGTACTCGCTCATGTTGTCTAACGGATAACCTTTCAGAGAAAATGTGTGACAAAAACAGGATGTTTGATAGAACTGTGTATTATCATTGTGTCTTATGGCCACACATATGAGGAAGGAAATATGACAGATCTATGAAAGATATTTCAGCTTAACGGTCAACTCACTGTAAGAAATGGATGCAGCTCTACTGTACCATGTTTTGTCCCACTTTAGCGACAAAGCATGTACTAAATACTGTAATTGCAGGTTCAAGACAAACTGGTTCTAGACAAACAAGACATATAAAGCATTACCTAACAAAAGCATAGATCTTCATCAAGTGTCACATGTTTGTGTGACTTCCTGACCATTTCCTTTATATTTACCATATCTGTGTCATAACCTTCTCTTATTGGATCAAAATGAAGGGAAATCCCTCTTAACACTGTTTGAAACTTCAGTCTAAATGTACATAAAACACACAAAACACAGGAGATCATGAGAGCATCATTTACATATTGCTTTGCATGCAAGGTGACAGTGTTGATGTTATATTGTATATTTAGCCCAGCTCTCGGAAACACTGACTGGATACAAAGCCTGGGGCGGACCCAGTAAACACTGGTTGTGCGGATTAGCAGTTGCTTCACTCAGTCTCAAGTCATTTAGATCCTGCATTTCAAGAATTTTAGGCAAATGCAGATGTGTTATCTCAAGATCTTGTATCTCCCCCCCCCCACATATTTTTCCCCACATAGTTTTCTTAACCAGCTGTCTGTGCTTTTATGTTTTAATTACCTTTTTATCTGTACCCTTTGTGTCTGTAGACGATGGGCCTCTCTACTCCCGGACAGGCAGAAATCACCAGTCTGGATTCAGCCAACATTGATGATGTCCTAAGTAAGGCATCAGACTTTACTCTGTAAAACTGAAGGGAACCGTATTTTGTGAAATTCACCGATTGGCCTTCTTGTTGAGAGTTGGATGCAAAAATCATTAGACCTCATGCCCGTCCATTCAACAGCTAGTGGGCTAAGCTTGCCATAAGGACTTGAGATAGGAGGAAACAGCTTATTTCCTGGTATCTTTCTCACATGGTTGTGGCCAAGGAAGCTTATAAGCATGTCAAACTGTCTAAATGTTCCTCTACTACTCATTCACATCTTAGTTTAACACTTGAACTCAATTGTCTCAAAGAGAAAGGTATTATGTTTCCCTTTATCTTACGTCCACCTAGGTATTTAGGATTTGTCTCACAACTCTGTCTCAGTTTTTGTTTGTCTTTATGCACGTAATGAGCTCTTGATGTGGATCGCACCATTAAACGTTCTTATTTCCATCCCACACATATGTTCATATTGGCCACACCCGTTGCTGTCAGATTGTCATCAGGCCTCATACAAATGTTTAGTGTTAACCTAATGTGGTTTCTCAAATATTTGCATGACATGGAAATCAATGTAATCCTATTGTTAAAGGTCCGACCTTATTGTAAGTCATAGAGGGTGGTGTGATGGATAAATAATGAGCTACGAGTCAGTAACAAAAATGTGGGTTTAACACTCATAACGTAATTAGTTTATCTAACAAAATGAACATGGGTGTATTTAGAGATTGTTAAGAGGCTTATTTGAATTTCCTGTGTGTTTCCTTGCAGATAATGCTGCGGTGTCGATAGTTAATTTTTACGCAGACTGGTAAGTGTGTTGCTTCTCTCCCATAGTCATTGGACTTCTCTATATTTTGTTAAGGATGTTAAAATGAATGTTGCTCATGATATAGACATTCCCTATGACACAAGTATAATGAGATTGCTGTGATCTGCAGTAAAGATTTTGTGGATTTATTTTTGATAGGATTTTTACATTGATGTTTGTTTTAATCTCTTTAAGTCTAAGTAGTGAAGCTCTAATAGTCTAAAATCATTGTCAACATTGATATGCTGCAAAATTGAGTCCAATATACTCCGTAATCTATTCAATATACATACAAGATATAGAAATCCTTTTGGCCTCACACCACTTCCCCTCCTGCAGGTGCAGATTCAGTCAGATGCTCCACCCAATATTTGAGGAGTCTTCTAACATAGTGAGGGAGGAGTTCCCTGAAACCAAGCAGGTGGTGTTTGCCCGAGTCGACTGCGACCAACATTGTAAGTATTACTAACTTTTAATTGGATTTGAGTGTTTCTTGTTTGTTTAACCTACAGCACAACATTAAGACATGATGAGAAATACCAGTCAGGAGTTACCAGAGCCTCACTGTTTATTCATTTCTACTTTCTTCCACCTTTTAAAGATTTTAACATTGTAATGCCTGTACACCTTGCTGCTGCAACTAAATCAATTTCCAAATTTGGGATCAATAAAGTACCAATCGATCCATCTATTGGATCAATGATGTAGAACAAATACAGGTGGTCTAATCTTAGAAATGTTTGGATTCAAATGAACATATTATATTATTTCTATTATGAAAATATGTTTTTGTTTATGGTGATCTGATGCCACACAAGGGAAAAAGGTGCACAGAAACACTCCCTCTACATTTGATGCACATATGTACACATAGATGCCCAGGACACCAAAGCACAGACACATACACCGCCAGCCTCAGCCTTTTGAGATAAAGCAAATTAAAGAGAATTATTGATGACCTGCAAACTGTTTGAAGACTAATGACAAAACTGCTGCTTCCTGTGAAGACGGGAGGCTTAGAGACCCCCCGCGGGGAGATTGACACCTGCCACACCGACACACACACACTCGCACTCATTCAGTGTGTGCAGGGAGAATATTTACTCTTGGCGGGGGGCAGCTTTCATGTGGGAGATCAGAGCTCAGAGCTGACTGAAGGCAGTGTTTTCAGGTTTAACCGCCGTCTCTGTCCCCGCTCCTCCTCATCCTCCCGTCCCCATGTGTCTTTATTCCGCTGCTTCCTCTCCATCAATTGATTTGTCTTTCTTTACTTAACTTTTCCCCCACCCTCGCTGTGTAGCGGACATTGCCCAGAGGTACCGCATCACCAAGTATCCAACACTGAAGATGTTCCGCAATGGGATGATGATGAAGAGGGAGTACAGGGGTCAGAGGTCGGTGGCGGCCATCGCTGATTTCATCCGCCAGCAGCAGGTCAACCCTGTGAAAGAGCTGCAATCCATGGAGGAGATGAATACTCTGGATGTGAGTGGAAAGCCTGCCCACTTAAACATATTAACAGTCATTTTAATCACAAAAAAGTCATTTATTTTCTCACTGCTAATGTTTGTACTCTCTGTTCCCACAGAGAAGCAAGAGAAACATCATAGCTTACTTTGAGAGTAAGGACTCGGAGAACTACAACACATATGCAAAGGTTGCCAACATCCTTCGAGATGACTGCACGTTCTTGTCGGCCTTTGGGTGAGACAAATCGCCATCTATGTTTTATTCTTAGATGAATTCTTCGATTTGTATTCATCCTAACATTTTCCTTTCCGTGTTACTCTTATAGAGCCATATCTCAGGCCGAGCGCTTCAGTGGAGACAATATCATCTACAAGCCCGTTGGAGAGAGCATCGCCGAAATGGTCTACCTCGGATCACTCACCAACTTCGACCTGACCTTCGCCTGGGCCCAGGACAAGTGTGTGCCTCTGGTCAGGGAGATCACCTTTGAAAATGGAGAGGTTTGTTCCTGCTTTAACGATTGCTTTCCGGTCTGATGTTAGATGTGTGAATCTGGATATGTAGAAGGACAGAGATGTTTACACAAAAACAGCCTGGAGAGTATTCATGGCTTCTGAGTAGTCCATCTGCTGAGCCACAGAAAGGCCCTGGCTCCATCTGTCCGTGACGCTTTGTGTTTGTATTTGTGTTTTCAGGAGTTGACTGAAGAAGGGATCCCTTTCCTCATCCTGTTCCATGTGAAAGAAGACACGCAGAGTTTAGAGAAGTTCCAGCATGAAGTGGCTCGCCAGCTCATCAGCGAGAAAGGTGAGCCTGGCATTTAGTACCTATCCAGGATGGGGATTGTGGTTACCCATGAGTCAAACTGTTTGTTTTCAGAAGTGGTCCATGACATCATTGTTTCCTCTTCAGGGTCTATAAACTTCCTGCACGCAGACTGCGAGAAATTCCGCCATCCTCTGCTCCATATCCAGAAAACTCCCGCTGACTGTCCCGTCATCGCTATAGACTCGTTCAGACACATGTATGTCTACCCCGACTATAAAGACCTCAAGTAAGTACCAACGTTCACTTTCCCCTTCAGATTTAGTGTAGATGTGAAGCAATCTAGTTCTTGAAAATGCACATTATTATCAACGTGTGATAAATAATGAAATGTGTGGTCTTTCCAAACAATACCAACATCATATACTTACGTTGCCACTGAGATAAGATAAAAGATACTTTATTGATCCTAGTTTGGGAAATGTTTCCTTCACAGCAGCTTAGATAAGACATAGCACATGAATTAGAAGTAAATAGAATCAAATACAAATAAAAAACAATAAAGATATACGTATCAGTAGAAGATAATCAAAATAAGCCAAACAGTGAACATATACATATAGATAATGAATATAGACTATAGACACTGTGTGCATCACCCATAAACATTTTGAAAACATTTTTCAAACTCAAATGTTATTTGTATCATAGGAAAATAAATTGCCAAATATAAATGAAAACTTTAACAAATGAAATGAACACATGAATCATCCACGTATCAAATCAGTCTGATATATTCAGCGTCCTTTTAGACATGTTTGAACAATTACTGCCTGATACTGATACCGTATGTGAAAGTGTACATCACGAGATCTCCTTAAATTAGGTTGATTTCATTACACACACACACACACACACACACACACACACACACACACACACACACACACACACACACACACACACACACACACACACACACACACACACACACACACACTGACACTGTGCGCTTAACAACAGAGAAATGTCACACCTCCTAAAAAATCTGTCCTTTATGAATGGGCCTGGACACCGGAGCTAATGTGACATGATTTGGCACGTGCAATAAGTGCTAAACTAATCCAGTATAATCTAACTTAATCTTATTTATTCTGCCCCCTACCACTCGGCCTCCCCTAGCCCCCAATCAGAGTCTGATCAGATAGACAGAAGCCCCCAGGACTGACCAGCCCTCCACAACCTAATTACATCACATCACCCCCGCATGTGGCACACAGCTTGTAATTACATTAGCACAGTGTATGTTATATATATATATATATATGTGTGTGTGTGTTTGTGCATGTGTCTGCATGCTGCTGTGACTGGGGATCTGTGATATGACAACAGCTCATGACCTGTCGTTAATAAGCGCACTTCACAGGAAAGCGTTGATATGGATTAATGCTTCTTCATGACATGTCCGCAGGGACTGGAGTCCTCTGCTGCTGCACCGAGCTCTTTGTCTCGCATCAACTCTCTCTACTGTCTTTATGGCTGAACTGTGTGTGTAGGAATGCCTTTGTCCAACCCACAGTCACTGGGCCTCATGCAACGACCACTCATACCAACAGGCTGGTGTTCGAGAGGCCTGTTCAAGGGATTCAAGTGAATTTGTTGCCTTCACCAATTTCTACCACAACACCAGCCCCTGTATGATATGCTTTAGTCTTATCTCCCTGACCCTTACATCCCTTCGACTATATGGACCCACTTCCTGTTGGAGCTATGGCTCAGGAGGATGAGAACGTTGTTCATTTCAGGGTTGATGAATTGATCCTTTGCTCTTTTTCAGACTGCAAGATGGGAAGATATTTAAGTCAACATTTCTCAAGTTCACTTGTGTTTAAGGTTGAGTTGTTAAGCAAATTATTCACAAAGTTGGGAAGGTCATTTAAGTGCAGTTCATTTGCCATGCAGGCCCCTTCCTCTTTATCTTTGTTACAGTACAGCCCAATTTTGGACAGCTGTACTGTGACATCTTCTTACTGTCTCAGGTCCCATAATACATCTATTAAACTCTGTCAGATCCGGCTGAATTAGTATCAGTAGGCCGGATGCTCTGCAGTGTGCTTTGGTCTTTTCACTGTTGGAGCAGAACAGGTACGCCTGTAAAGTTGGGGGCGGAGGGGTCAATTGTACTTATGACTAAATCTCACAATACACACACCTGCTCATGTATTGGCGGCACCCATCAGGTGGAAATTATTCATTTATAGCCGGTTTGTGCAATTAAGTTAGATGTAGGATACGATTTAAGGACACAAATAGGTTCCTGCCTCATGTTCAATGTTTGCTTCTGTGTTTTCTTTTTTCTCCCAGTATCCCTGGAAAACTGAGACAGTTTGTGCTGGACCTTCACTCTGGAAAGCTTCACCGAGAGTTCCACCACGGCCCCGACCCCACGGACAGCACGCCTGGACAGGTCAGACGGCGTGACACACTCTGCATTCACTGAGAGTTTAGTTTATTTGTTTATATTGTTGTGGACAGTCCCCATTGATCCACTGTCACAAACAACAGTAAATGGGGCATCTTTAGCAAACATTGCTAATTTCCAGATGTTGTCCCCAGCCAGATGATAATGGACGCCCTTAAACTTAAACAGCATTAGTTATAAAACAAAGGATGAAAGACAAGCAGATACAAGAGAACAATAACATGCAAACAACACACGTTACTACATACATGTCACATATAGCACATCACTACCACTTAACAGAAACAAGGTGCAACATCCATGGCTTAACATCATCACGTGTGTCTAAACTGTTTGTTCTGGCGTTCCCCCTCCCAGGAGGAGACGGGAGGGGAGGCGGCTAGCAGCCCCCCGGAGAGCTCGTTCCAGAAGCTGGCGCCCAGCGAGACTCGCTACACCATCCTCAACCGGGGCCGCGACGAGCTGTGACCTCAACAGCCTTTCAGAGATCCTGTGACTCAATGCCACGCCCCGGGTCGGGGGGAGGGGTCGGGCATGATGGGGCGGGCCGGCGGGCGCGGGTTGGACAGGCTGAGCGGGGACCAGAGTCCCCGTTACAACATGGTAATATACTGAAACAGATGCTAAAAGAGAGATCCGTATGTAAGAAAAGAGATCTCCTCTGCCAATGCGCACACCAGTCGATGTATGGGAAGATTGATATTATTTTCACCTGTAGTTTGATGCATAATCAGTCTTTCAATATCTTAGTCTTTATCTCTTATTTTTGGTATCTCAATAATAGGGCTTTAGAGCTAGGTCGAGCTGAAGCAATTGACATGATATTAGTCGTATAGTTGTGGGTAGAGCGGATGCATTATTGTGATTGGCTTAGCATCACGAGAAGTCTTTTAACTATTATTATTTTTCGGGTTGTAAATATTGTTTGTTGCTACATATGGAGATAGGAATCTCAATCACGTTTGCCGGTGCCTATTGTTTAGTATTGCATAGAGTATTACTCTTTATTTTATTTTATTTTCATTTCTTATATATTTATGCATTAGGCAGCCCTGATGCTTTATTATGTTGTTGAGTCAAAAATCAATGCTGATAGGAGTGTGACCAGTATGCACTCTACAGCTCGCTTGGTTATCTTTTTTATCTAGTGGAGTAAATGTTTTATATTTCTGTTCTGTTAAACAACGTAGATAGTATGAGATTTTTAGTGTATTACCTCCTTGTGTCTGTTCAGTATCTTCATGATCTAATATTACCACTAGTCTGATGCTCTTGGTATGCACAATTATATAGTAATGTGTTTGATAGTTCTCTGTTCTTTCTATCGTTACTCTCTTTGTTATTATTCTACCAATGTACACTCGTGAGGTAGAGGTGAGTTTCTATTGGCGAATAGACATATTTTTAATTGCTTGATTGGTTTGGTAACATGAAATCCCATGAGATTGTGAATGATAAAAGGAGATATCGTGTCGTCACTACTGCTCCAGCCTGTTCGATGTATGTGTCTATCCACTTGTCCTGAAGGTACTAAATATGCTTCTAGATATATTGTTGTGTGTTGGTT